TATGACGAAACACGGTTACTTCCGCTAGTCAGGGCCCAGCCTCCGTTTATGGTGCTTTGATCCCGACACCGCCACAGCAACAGTAATGACATTTGAAATGGCCTGCAAAAGGAACAAGTATTTGCAAGCTGCAACCTATGGATCTAGCGAGATGCATTTCGTCTTGGCATATATTGCTCATTCTCTGACTATGTGGGATTGGCAATTGAGCGACATTTGTGGGAACAAGCATGTATTAGTAGCATTCCTATGATTTGACCAACCAGCAACTGTCTACTGCAACACCCTATGAGCCTCTCTTCGCCCTCACAAACGCCTCTGTGTCATCCAATGCGTCTTGCACCGCTTTGATTGTGCCAGGCGGAAACCCAATAAACCCATGCGGTGCCCCATGATAGATCTTGACTATACTTTCGTTTCCCCACATGGCCCATTTGCTACCCATCATGACACTATCATCTAGCAGCGGATCTTCACTTCCACACGTGAAGAGCGCAGGCGGCAGCTTCTTTCCCCTTAAATCAGCCCAAAATGGGCTTATCGACGGGTCGCGACGCTGCTCCTCCGTCGTGTTGGGGAGCAAGGCGTCAATGTACGATTTCATGACGTCGTGGTCGATGACCAGATGTGTCTCGTGGTGCAAGACGTGTGGTAGAAATGAGGACATGTCGAAGCAGCCAAAATGAAGGAGTAAGCCTTTGAATGCAAACTCTGGCATCGTTTCCAGCAGATGCAAGGCAACTAGGCAGGCGAGATGACCGCCAGCAGACTATATGCATTCGTCAGCTTTCAACTTTTGGCTTGCTTGGGATGATTTGAGGATATGCATACTTCACCACCTGTGAACATCAAATCTCCACCAAAGACCGTTGGACCGTTTTTCACTAGCCATTCAGCGGCGTCATAACAGTCTTCTGCGCCTGCGGGCCAGGGGTCCTCGGGCGCAAGCCGGTATCCAATTGACACGACTGTGACATCAAAATGATCGGCCATGTACTTGAGATACGGATCTTGACTACGCAAGAATGGTCAGCTTTTTCTGTTTGGTGTGCAACATAAGAGACTATCATGAACCTACTAAGCCTCGCTCATCAAAACCCATCCGCCACCGTGGATGTGCATGTGGATCCCATTGCTCTTGCCGCTGCTCGGCTTGAAGACACGATACGGAATCTCTCGTCCGGCTTCTCGTGAAGGCAGTGCTCCGTTGGCACCTTCAGGGAGAACAATGGGTTTTGGTAATGGTGTCTTGCCTTCCCATCTCATCTTTCGGTATTCTGCTGCGCCAACCTTTTTTTTTGCGTGTAAGTCCCATAGCCCAAAAAAAACTAATGAAAGGTAGAGGTGAATATCAATACATACCTCATACCATCTTGGTCCATCTGCCCATATTTTGATCAGTCTGTCGTTAAACTCCAGCGTCTGCTTATCGATGGTGCTGCGATCAAACTTGGATGCGTCTACTGTAACGTCGGATTTCAGCGTCATGATCAAGTCGTATGTGTTATGGCTTTTGGCTGTCTCTTTTCTGTCTCCAACAAACACGGCCTTGGGTCAAAGAGAAAGAGCAAAAGTCTTGGAATGAAAAAAAAAGGTTGAAGGCGACTGAGAAAGATGTACATGTTGTTACTGCCGTAATGGCAATGTGACACCTCCCTCCGTGTTCGGCTCCGATAGGCCATGCAGGTGGGGGCGGGGTACGACGTTGAACAGACAGCAACGCTCCCAGCTATCTCCGTCGCTCGCATTAGAGAGAGCCGCTCCGTACCTGCATGTCGGCTTACTGGATCGGACGGAGCCGGAAGATAGCATGACTCTTGATAATTGACAATACCATGCAACGTCGCATTGCCCACCCAGGCCGGGCACTAACAAAGGACCGACATGATACGTTTATCTTGTGCAAACAAAAGGCCGGGGATAGGGTACATGAGCAAACTTGTATTTGATAGGATATCCAAGGAAATTAGTAATTACACACTTTCATCGCCCAACCTTGGACTGCATCCTACTCGATGATATCGACGTATGTCCATTGACCTGCCCTCCCTTTGCTCGCGGTTTGGGCTGCCGCTTTTCCGGGATAAACATTGACTTGATGACTGATAAGACAATTGCCGCGGTCCGGAAGGGATACATGGAGATATCCCAGATCAGTTGCAACATGCTACTGATTGTCCCAGCTATCCAACTAAGCGTCACAGTGATGATGCCTGGCCGGTGTCCAGTTCTGGCTGCTGCTGCTGCAAGCGCGAGCGTATCTTGGAGGCGAGCCTCCAGGTCTTGAAAACGAGCCTCGATCTGGAGGGACTGCGCCATATGGCGCTTCTCATATCGTCTGACGGCGCGATTGAGCGCATCGAGTTGCAGTTGAGTGGTCTGGCGGATTTCGGTGCTGAGTTTCTCTACGTCTATCTGGCTGGTATTCTTGTTGTTGGATGAGGACGCGCCGTCAAGACGGCTTTCAAGCTCGACTATGCGCTGCGAGAGTTGTTGCGCATCGGCGGGTCGAATGGCTCCTCTCGGCGCATCTCGTACAATGCGCTGTAGGTGCAATATGCGCTCAGTACGCATCTTGATTAGGCGATTGACGGGCGGGATTTCTGCGATCAGCAGGAAGATGCTCAGGTTGGCGTCAGAGACTATGCCTTCGGCGCGCATCAACTGCCCTCGCACAGTATGCATAAGGAGCGCCCCGAGAAGCGGACCTAGGAAACATCCAACAAAGGCCAGTAGCTCTGATCGCTTCAGAGCCTCGCGAGCTTCCTGCTGTGCTGGCAATGTCACTGAAGGCGCAGGGCTCATGTCGGCCTGCTCCTGGCTTGCTGCGTCGCCAACACCCTCGGCTATGCCATGTATGTCGGTTTCGTCTACTTCACGAATGGTGTTGTTGTACGTGTCGTCGTCGTCGGCTTCATCGCTGATATATCGTCTCTGCTGGGCATCGTGGTAACAGTCCCTGCATCCTGTCAGTGAGGCTCGCTCTGTCCACGCTGTCGGCCCGCAGAGGCTGACTGCAGCTTACCATGGCACCTTGACACTCAAGTGCAGGAACCAGCCCGCCAGCACCAATATCAGCACATCCGTCGCAATCACGGCGCCATTCTCCACCGTCAGGCCAATAATGGCAGGCACAACCGCAGCCACGACGGGCAGGGCAATCCACCGTGAAGGCTCGTCCGAGGCGGCATCTTCTTGCCTGTCCATGTCATACTTGGCACCCGTCCTCAGCAGGTTGTCTGTCGAGGACCAGAGTGAGGGTCGCGTGTCCGAGAGGTCCGATACAAGAGAACTGCGGCGGCGAGAGACTGCGGCGGGTGGCGTCGACGGCTGTGCAACCTCGCCAAAGGTGGCAGCGCGGTTCAGCATCATCCTCTGGCGTAGCTGGGGAGGAACGGCATGGCTCTCGGATGAGGGCGCGCCATCCATTGCGAGGGCGAGGCAGGCGAGAGTTGGCTAACAGGCAAATGCAAATGCAACTGCAAATGCCGTGTCTCTACCACTACGTATGTACGTACGTAGGTAGGCAGTATGTATGTACAACGTCACCGTCAAAACGCCCGAGACGATGGCGGGAAAAAGCCGCCGCTGCTCAGGTACGTGTATCGATGTGGTCGTGCTAATGGGCACAGGCGCTGGCAATGCATGGCTGAAGCCGTGGGCGAGTCTCGCATGCGCCAGGCGGGCGGGCGGTCGTGTGCCGTAGGTAGTGTGAGTGTGAGTGGAAGACGCCTCGGGTCTCCCCAGCTGCTTTACGTCATCCGATACTTCGCTGGTGGTGCCCGCCCATGCGAGCAGTCGCAATGGTGTATTGGACGCACTTAGATACTTGTCACATATACGCGCGGGCAGTGCTGTTGTGCCTCTTTGCTTCTGCTATTTTGCTTTCTGCGGGCAGTCGAGGCGTCAGACTGGTCGCATTGCAGTCGGACCACCTGCACACAACGCGCTACACGGAAAGAAGCAACACTGTGGGCTGTGCTCATGGGAACCAGCAATGCAAAGACACAAGCACCATTGACTCAATCGAGCAGCTCGTCTTTGCTTCTGCTGCCTTGTCCCGCCCTCCCGAGATGCTCGCTCCCCTAAACCACCATCTTCCCCAGGACAACGGCCTTCGGACTCTGACCAAAGAGGAAGCTGCACGCACTACCTACATACAAGTGCGGACACATGTGTACGCCCTGGAATTGATAACCTTGCTCGACGTGACTGGACCCCTCACTTTGGATACATGCCATCTGTACGCCCTCATCTGCACTGAGCAACAGAAGCGAACTCAACACATAAAGTGCACATGAAATTCTCCGTCATTGCCTCAGTTATCATCACAAACATGTCTCGCCTCCCATCTGCCTGATTTCTATTCAGAATGTGCCATCTTGGTCACTTTTCCTATTCAGACCCAAAAGCGGATTGGTCAAAGTCTCACCCCAATCACCACCGAATCCGCAACTACAACCAGGTATCACATACACCCAGTCCCCCTGTGTCGGCGCGACGAAACAATCTGTTTGAACAAGTCTCCAAACGACTTGACGAGTGGCTCTGCCAAGATGGTCGTGGAGCGAAACGACCGGCTTTCACCACTCAAGTGAGCGTAAGTATCCAGCAGCACCTATTGACCATTATTGAAGATTGAGACAACAACTCAGTCTATTGAGTTCTCTGCTGCGCCCACCCGCAGCATGAGGTCCCGCAAGCTGCGAGGCCTGAGATGGACCACTTGCCACAGTATACGTTACCCTTATACTTTCCTCCATCTCAACTTTCCCATAAATTTACTCGACACACCCTAACAAATTTCTTGTGTCTTAGCATCTCCCACATTCGCCCATCCTCCAAGACCGACAACCTAAGCGATGCCGTCCGGGGCGGTAGATGTCCTCGACAGTGGCACAGCCTACCCGCCAGGGTACTCGATGGATGCTCCCATATACACCCAAGCAATCCTTTTCCCAGCCTTCGCTTTTCCAGCATGGATACTCTGCGTCCCCGCAATGGTCTGGCACTTTCGGCAAGCCAACATTGCCGCTGGTTCAAACGTACTATGGATCATCCTTCACAACTTCTTCAACTCCATCAACGCTCTCATATGGCCGCGCGACAATGTGTTTGAATGGTGGGATGGCAATGTTTGGTGTGATATCCATGTGCGGATCCAGGTCGCGAGCTACGTAGGTGTTGCAGCATCTGCGGCAATGATCACGCGCAAGCTGGCTAGGGTCATGGACACCCGAAACATTACCGTCTCAAGCAGTCGCAACAGCAGGATCAGAGAGAAGATCTGGGAATTGGTATGGTGCTGGGGGGCTCCAATGGTCCTGGCCATTGTTTACTACGTTGTTCAACCGGCTCGCTACACCATCTACGGCATCGTGGGCTGTCAATCTACCTATGACACATCATGGCCAAGTCTCGTACTGAGTATCATGTGGTTTCCGATTACCATGGCCTTTGCCGCGTTTTGGTCGAGTGAGTCTTTTTCCCTTAGACGAGAACCCTATATTGAACGGGTCGCCGCTAACATACCTGAGCAGTCTTACTTGTATATCGCCTCTATCGCTACCGAAAAGAGTTCCACAGCCTGGTCGTAGCTCAGAATACCACAACATCTCGTTTTGTCCGACTCTTCATTCTCAGCATGACAATCAGCCTGGTTTATCTCACCTATTCCATCTACATCACTGTCGAAACTTCGTTTGTCCTGACTGAAGCGTATTCCTGGTCCTACGTTCATGACCCAGTCAGATTCAACACCATCATCCACGTACCGGTGCAAGGCAAGGTCTCCTACGATAAATGGATCCAGGTGATCACCGGATACGTTGTCTTTTTGCTCTTCGGCACTGGCGTTGATGCATACAACTTTTATAGAAAGACTATGGTCCGCATGGGTTTAGGCAAAGTATGGCCGAGTCTGCATGAGCCGAGACGCAATGGACAGCGAACGCCCTCGAGCTTTATAGCTGCCAAATCGTGGACCAGCAGTGTATCGAGCAAGGCAAAAAGCTTGCTTTGGTCATCCAAATCTGATTCCACTGCCTCGGTTGGCGATGCATACGTCGACTTTCCGCGCAGCAACTCTGTCGCCCTTGATTCCATCCCGGCTGTGAGTAATGGCGATGCCGAGACCGCACTGATTACGGGAAGTCAAGGTCAGACTGAATCATCTACCACACAGACACGGCCGTCTTCCTTCAAGCGATGGTTTGCTCGTTCGAATCTTGGTGGCTCTGTGCTACCATTATTCAATGACCGCAACATCACTGAAGTTGCAATCAATGATACAAGCAAATTATCCGCGCCAGCCACTTCGCCTGGTGTGCGCGCCCACGTTTGGGCTACCGAGGACGCTCCTATCAGGCGGGCTAGCGAAGGCGAAGGTGTTTTTGTCTCACACGAAGTATATCAACGTCGACATGACATGCACGACAAAGATTGCGATTCAAAATCAACTTATCTTTGGGTCAATGGTAAGGTTTAATCATCATGTTCTCTGGGTACTTCGTAGTAGGAGCTCAGCTACTACATTCAGGAGCGCTGTGTGCACAAAGCGTGGATGATCATTTTCGGCAGTCATTCACTTTTCTCAGCAGCATACTTTGGCAGTGGGAGATTTCCCTTGCCCACTATTTCTTCTAAATTACATTAATGACACCAGTATTGAAGCTGCATATGTACCGACTCAATATTCAAACCCACAATGACCAAGAGATGCTCAAGTATGTACATGCTTGCCCATAAACTACACAATCTTCAAAATGCACAAGGAACACTTGTACACGCCCGCTGGTCTTCTCGTACTCTCTCATCTTGATGAAGCCATTGCACAAACATCCACCGCTTCTCGGTTAACACAGAGTTCACACGAAGCGTTTTATTACATCATAGCACCTCAGCTGAGCCCAGTCCTCGGCATGCCGTTCCACATCACGCGACATCATGCACACAAACAGCAAGCGAGGGGGAATTGTCGTGAAGCATTTTTGATTCCGTTATCGCATGTTCACATGGTGACAGGCCAGTCAAAGGCAAGCATCCACAGCGGGACGCGAGCCGGTGTTAGAGAGACCGTCGTAATCTCATGTTCAAGTAAACTCCCAGAGAACCTCAACGTGCCACATGGGCAATTGACCAGCGTCCCATAGCGTTCCCCAATCCGGCACAATCGTTTCCTCCCGAGAAAAATCATTGATAGCTCGCGTGTGGCATCCAACCGTATGACGTAACTGGAGGTCGGAATGCGCATTGCAGCAAGATGGCGCAAACTAGGCGGAAGGATGTGCACAGAGAACAAGTTGTTCATCCATCATTTTGGATTAGAATTGAGGCGATGGGTTGCTGAGATCGAGGGGCGAGTAGTTTATTTGCTGCAAAGCTGGTTAGTTCCATGCGCAAAGCCATGTTGGCATTGGCGTCACTTACGAACGAGCCCTCGTCTTTCTTCTCTTGCGCTTGAGACGTCGAACGCGCTTCTTCCTCCATTTGGCTCTCATCTTGTCGGCGGGCTGTGGAATGAGGTCAGCGGCTGCGATTGATGGATAACAAAATTGATTGAAGGGCAGAGACGCTCGCAAAGCGAGAGCGACGCTGAGTTGTGCATTGCAGAGGACAGGATAGGCCGCGGAGAGTAACTTACATTGCTGTCTAGATGAGTGTCGTGAGTGTAGAACAAAGGTTCCAGGTTGACTGAACGAAATACCTAGGTGGGAGCGGGGCTCGCTTAGCCAAAGCGGTTTAGCGGCCCGACCTTGAGCAGGTGCCAAGTTCACACGCGTCGCGTCACTTTTTCTTCTTAGGAGCCTTGCACAGGCATTGATTGACATGCAACATCGGTATCGGTATCAATGTAGTAGCAACAACAATACGCCATGGCAGGCCAACTGGTAGGATGGCTGCAGGTTGTCGTGGCTGGTGATGACGCTCGCGGTGCGCTGCAGCTCATCCTTCATTGAGCCATGGCCAGCATACTAACCAACTAAGGAACCCAGCGCAGTGTTATCGAGGTTTGCGGCAACGAGTACTTCTACCTTGGGAGAGACGCCGAGCTCTGGTGAGATGAAAGCGCTAGCCACCTTGGCCGTGGCATGGCATGATCTGACCTTATTCACAGTCGCTATACGTGGTGCGACGATCTTACCGTTTCTCGCCTGCATCTGCGCATCCACTGCGTTCTTTATGAACAAGACCCCATCTCTAACATTGCACCCTTTGTATATGCGACTGACCTATCAGCCAATGGCACCTACTTGAAGAGGCGTGATTCCGGGCCTGTTGCATGCCAGGATGATGAGGTTCTCATGGGTCGCAATAACACCTTCCTTCTGGGTCATGGGGACGAGCTCAACATCTCTGATACCATTACACTGATCTACTTGTCGAAAAGTCCCGTGCAATCTGTTGACCTGACGCCTACCCAGGAAATGGAAATCCAGACGTTCAGCTCGCGATATCTTGTTACTGCTCGTATGTTGGGTGAAGGCGGATACGGTAAGGTACTCGTGGGCGTAGTTCGAGAGACCCAGAAACAACTCGCATGCAAAGTTGTTCGACTAGATAAACTTTCGGTGAACACGGTAGGCTCACCAACAGCCGATCGAGACCAGCATGCGCTCCAGCCAAGGGACCGATGTTATCGAGAGTTCAACATTCTCAAAAGCCTTAGTCATCCTAACATCATCGCCCTCGAAAAAGTGTTTTGCAGCCATGACAACATCTACATGTTCCAGGAGCTCATAACTAGCGGCGACTTGTTTTCCTTTCTTGAGTTTAAAGGCGGTCGTCTCGATAGCACACAGGCGGCAGTTATCGTTTTCCAAATCTTGAAAGGGATCGAGTATTTACATAAACTGGACATTGTACATCGAGACCTCAAACCTGACAATATTTTGATGTCGTCACTTGAAGACACTGCTCGTGTCGTAATTACCGATTTCGGCAATGCGCGATTTCTTCCCTGCACGGCTAAATAAGCCAGGAAATACCAACGCATGTTCTCGCATGTCGGTACTTTGGAATATGCAGCGCCGGAAATTCATCGCGCTAACCCAGCCATTCCAGCGGCAAATGGTTACTCGAAGAGTGTAGACTTGTGGTCTATCGGATCGCTCACAGCTACTATCCTTTCAGGTGATCACCTGTTTACCGATCGCAATCATCCCGACTATGATAAGAATCCACAAGGCGTCATTGTGGGGCTCACAGCCATCTGCGACTTAAGCGCTCTTGACGATGACCGTCATCCATCATGGAGGCTGATCGGTCCCCACCCAAAGGATTTCATCAGGAAGCTGCTGGTACTGAATGAAGAAAGCAGGATGACGGCTACTGAGGCTCTGACGCATTCTTGGTTTACATCCCAATCAGACAGCCTTGAAAAGCAGTACGCCTCCTCAATTGTGGACTGGAGACCTCAAAACAAAGACCACCACCTTGTCGAAAACATAAGCAAGCTCTCGTCTAACTCTGTTGACGATCATGTACCCGGTAGTCTCGCGTGTCAAGTCACTAGATCCGAAAGCTACACCACACCTCAGCACGATACAGTTGCCCACCTAAATCCAAAAGATCCGATTGCTCAGTTCCCTTGTACAAAACAAATCTTGAGCTCACCAATACTCCGGAATGAAACGCCAGATGTGGACATCCACGCGCGCCCGTTATGCGATGTTAAATGTTGTTCGGAACACCGAGAGCACATACACGCACCGGACAGCAACGTGCAGTCTTACCGAACTTCAATTCTTCTAGCTGCTGAGAGGTAGGATGGATCTTCTCCGCAAAGGAAGTATTTTTTGCAAGCGTGGGATGCCATCCAAGAAATGTACCAAGTTCATTGATAGCCCTGTCCCTCAGCTCTCCCTTCACATAGCTGTGCCTGACGTGTATGACAGCAGTAGCAGAGGAAATCTGATTAAGTTGGAAGAGAGTTTGAAAGCGATCCCGAAGAGCTACTTCCAACGTCCAAGTTTGAGACTTCAACTATCGCTGCCCTTACTGATCAAGCCTGCGCATGATTTGGTTCATGTCAGTGACACACCTATCGAAGATCAGGTGCGACATGGGGAAGGCATTGAACGGAAATGCGAAAGAAATATGAAGTTGTACCTAGACCACATTACGGACCAGGCTTCACAGCAGCCGACGGAGCAGACACAAGATTCGATTCTAGTACCAGAAACACCCCCGGAATTGCTCTTCATGAACCCGCGCTTGTAAGAGCCAGTGCGAAACTTGCACCAATAGCCCAAAGGTATGTGGCTCTAGGCCAGAAGCGCCACGCAAACTTTTACTCGTAAGACACGACCGAAACTCGCATCGTAGACATTCATCTATAGGCTTCGATCTTTGGATGACACGTAAAATGATGACAGTGATCTACAGATCATCTCCATACAAGCCAAAATGAACATCCATCATCGTGTTCTATTGTCGCGACTATAGCATCATAAGACTCTGGTATTTATCTTTCCAAGATGATCTTCAAAACCAGTCATGGCTTTCTGATACCACTTAATCACCATGTATGATAGCATATATCTTGAGATTTACATGTTACTCTCACTAAACAGCTGTTGGACGTGTCATGGTGAGTGAAAATTCAGCTCTTTCCCCCCTCAATATATATGATAACCGTGGCTATGAGCAAAATGGTGTTACGTATATTGTCGCCAAGCCTTCAGAAGTGACTTTGATGTCCCCGTAATAATATCTTTCTACCTTCAAATCGTATTGTGTATTGGGAACTTCGAACAAATGGAATATATTGAGATGATGGTCCGATCAATCTACTGATCTGGACCACTGGATCAGTAAGCCTATATACTTCCAATCCTAGTCGAACCTAATCCATCAATCCAATTCTTTCTTCATCCAGTCCACCGTTCCAACCATCTGATCTTATCAGATGGGAAAATGATCGGATGATCATGTGGCCTGAATCAGTCTGATCCATTGATTCACTGATCCAACCACCTCTTGATCCTGCGACAAATCGCAATATACATCAACATTTTTGAGTGATGCAATCTTTTCAATCATTGTGTGACAGATGAGAAAGAAAGTAAGGGGTCAAGAAAGGAGAAAGCCGTTTTCAGTATGTAGGTGATGCTTGTCGCAACATTCTGAGCTTTCCACACGGGCCACCACCCAGCCAAAATCAATAGTAACACGCTAGAAAATTAGTGAGTTTAGAGTTTCGTGACGCCACTACGATGATATAATTACTTCCATTTTTTACGCGTATTGTCTTTTCTATGTACTAAAGTAATGCATACTAGCTAAAAGATAGCTAGAGGGGCACGAGTGAATACTGTCGCTAACCGTGTTAAGTACTATTTAGAAGTATCGCTTTTTTGACCAATAGGTGGCTGTTAATCTCCGTTATCGTTACGGCTGCAATATCCATGAACCCGATTGGTTGGGATGCTCTTCCGCGAAATGTTGCGGCGTTCTATCATGTAATTGGACTACCGATAAGACATGATACAAATGTCCAAGGCTGAAGTAGGTACATCACCTGAGCCTATAAGCATCCCAAGTATTTGCCATAAACTACGGATATTTTTGTCTTGTTGATGCTGCAAGATGTTGTTCTGACTTGAAAATATGGTTTACCCCTGACATCTTCACACATCGTTCATGTGTGTTTAGATAGCGAGTGACATGCTAACTACCACCAGGTGCTTGTCCGATATTCTACCACCAGGTAGATATTTAGAGTTTGACTAGCATGCCGCAGACCCCCCCAACGATTATAGCGCACAACTCTTCTCCATGAGTACTCCGATAGCAGTGGATGCGACATGTAAGGCATGTGATTAGGAGCTTGCGTATTGTAATAGGGGCTGCGCTTCGAGAAGAGAAGCAGTTCTTGTCTCGATAGCCCTTGCTGCGCATCGGCTGTAATGTTGTATTTGATCCGTTGGATACAAATCATGAGATGGAAAGCTGAAGATACCGAGGTCCTGATTCGTGCAAAGCACACCAACACATGTTGGGAAAATAATAGTTTAAGAGCTTTCTTGAGATTTGAATGCAAGCATCAACTGATATGAAAGCTTGGCTAATTTCACCATGCGATGATTATTGTACAATTGTGGTTCAAGCCCGCTACTGATTCTCTTAATAAGAAGAGTGACGGAAAAGCTGGCCTGCCCAGGACCTAATCGAAATCGCATGATAGGCAGAGAATAGTTACAAAAAGAGCCGAGAAAGGGCAGTTTTAAGACATCACAGACCATAGCGTGGCACGTCCGTGAGCCAGTTTGCCAATCAACATGATTGCTTGCAACTCCATCCTCGATTGAAGAACCAGCTCCTGAGAGCTTGATTCCATCGAAAAATACTAACCACACCGCACTAAATGCGCATTATGAGGCTAGCAACGTCTTCACGAATATATTCCATACAACAGTGCTTGCAGAACACGAAACTGTAGAGTGAATTCAGTCTTTTGAGCTATCACAAGCCTTAATGAATGTTCAATTGTCATAAGGAATACGAGTAACCTTGATAACAAAATGCGAGAGGACTTTTATAAAAGCTAAATCTTCCTTCCTTTAGTTAAGATCTAGCTTCTAAAATCATTTCTACACCCATCTATATACTTCAACGGAGCTACCCACAATTGTTCAACTAAACGCACCCAAGATGCAAATCAAAGCACTCCTCATTGCCCTTTTCTCAAGCCTCGCTATTGCAAACCCCCTTGGGGCGAGACAAAAACGTAAGATTCAGGAACATAAGAATTAGCCCGTCTGCAAATAACATTGAAATATGCAGGTGCCTGCGGTCCTAGAACTACATACGTGGTTAAAGCTGGAGATACGTGGATAAGTATCGCAAACCGATTCGACACCGGTGTTTGCGACATCGCAAAGGCGAACAATATATCCAATATCAACGTGCTTGTGCTTGGTGAAAGGCTAAGCATTCCTACTCAATGCAACCCTAAAGACGATACCTCCTGCGTGAAATGAACATCACTCCTGCAGTAAGTACATCATTCAGTCTTTATCAAATATATTTCAACTTGGCGAACATTCTTTACTCTACTAGTTCAACATTGCTCTGCTCCTATTTTGACTACCTACCCTTTCTGCCGCCTTGTTTTTTAGCGCTGAGATACCGCATACTGAAGGGATATTTTTGAGCTGATACCAATCTAGATGATCTTAGTGTAGCCCTATTCATGGGACCTTGGAGGATATTGTGCGACATTTCGAACACTACAGCATTAGACAGGCAATCCAAGTTTGCTCCCATGAACGAGGAGATACTTTAGGATTCAAGACAGAGAATAGTGAAGGAAACAATGTTAGCTACTCGAGTTCTTATGCAGAAACAAGTGAACCAACTTCCCCTCTCTAAAGTACCCGATTAGTGCCCTTGAGACACATATAAAAGGCCACTCATATACATATTCCATCAACACTTCATGCGCTGGCGCGATAGATTTAAAATACATTGATACTATTCCTATGCTCAATCAACTTCGATAAAAATTGCTAATTTGATAAAAGTCTTACATCACAATTAAGCAAAGCGGTTTTGATGCTGGGGGACGGTCTGGTGGGAATGCAGTTCCTTGGTGTAACGAACAAAAACAATGATCACAGCAGCATGGTTGAAAACGAGCGTCGGAGTCACAGCCATGAGCAATAGAGCAGTTAAGCTGGCCATCACTTCAGCATATTATCTAAGTTTGGTGTTGTTATTTTCCTGGGTGTATCGGCGTATGAGTCGAGAAGCCGACCCAGTAGTCATATGAGCTACGAATCAATGTCTTGCTCATCAAGGTTAGCTGTTATAAAGTTTCTTTCGCTTACCGAGAAGCCTTGCGATTTTTCTTATTCAATCAATACGTGAATGGCAGAAAATGTGATGGCTAGATCAGTATTGCATCGATACTGAAGTACTCATGTAGCTAATCTTTCGTACCAATCGCAATCCGAAGTGGGTGCATACATATAGCACTTTTGCCCAACGAGTAGGGGGGCTGCATGAACACATATATTGTGCACTGCTTGCAGCAGTACTCTAACTTTAATGTTGCGAAGTTGCAGCAGCTTATTAATCATTATTTTGGCCGCAACATATCAGCAGCTGGGAGAAGGCAGATTATTGCATAAGCCAGCCTGCCTTACCTGTATAAGGCGTGCGTAATTGCCTCTAGGATATTATTTAGCGCATACAAATACGATTGAGCTGCACGATATTTGAATGAACTTCGGTTCACTTGGGGTTTCTTGCAAGGCTTGGAGGCAAGTCTGTTGAGAATAGTGCGATAACTCTTCTTTCTGTGATTGTACTAATTGCTTCACTGACTGACATCCTTGCACCATTATAGAGATGCTCAATCGACGCGATCAACGAGATAGGGACGAGACATATAGTTACTCTAGCTTAAGGATATGCTGTAGGGTTTCATAAATGATAAGGGTTAATAGCGGGCACTAGTATTACACACATGCTTGTATTCGAAATGGAACACCCTGAGTTATTTTGCGATGCGGCTGGTTCAAGGTACTACGTAGGAAAAGTTTGGCACAGTCCATAGATCGGAACGGAACGGAAGGTGAGGGTAGCCTCCTGTAAATAAGTATGAGTATGTAAGTAAGTATGTTGGGCAGGTGCTAGCAAGGCGAAGCGATTACGAGGAAGCGAAGGCGACTGCGATGGCGCGGCAAGATGGAGACCGGGGATGGCGGGCCCGGGGGGGCGGACCATGAGGGCGGACCAGACAGGCGAAGGACCGCGCTATCTCTACCACTGACTCGGAACACCACACTTTGTAAGGCAACCAAGCGCTTTCATGCGTTTTACGGTGTTATGACTCCGTTCGGTAGGCAATTCCGAGCCGCTCCCAGTGCTCGCGCTCCAATCGAGTGAGGAGGGTGTGGCTCGTGCTGATGCTGAGTAGTGCCACTACAACAAACAATGTAGTACGTGGTTGTGGTACCGCCGTGTACGGCCAAGAAAGATAGAAGAGAAAAGTGAAGACATGCCTCTCCGCCTCAAAAAGCACGAAATGTAGACTACGGTAACGCCATAACACCTGACTTTGCGGGGAGTTTTGGGTAGGTGCACAGATCGTAATACCCCGTTATTACTAGATACCCCGTATTCTCGGTAGTCTAGCTCTAGTGATGCCCCTCGTCTTGCAATAGTTCCGTTGACACACCACCAAAACCGTGCTTGGATGACGGGTAGTCAGCCGCAGTCTTCTAATTGGACCACCGCCAGCCCAATGGCAAAACGGCGTAGATTAGACCGAACTATGTGACGTGCGGTTCTCCTTTACGAAGAAACTACCTGGTTGTAAATAGCTCTCTACATGTGCCCATCGCTCTGCCATCTATACTCTTCAAGATCACACTTTAAGGCCAGGGTTAAATCATCTTCAAAAAGTGATTGGTTACTGTACATGCAAGTTCAGCTTCGAATCAGGTATCATGGCTAGTGACCAGGGCAGGATCAATGAAACCCAAGTACGCAAAAACCACCAACAATACAATGACAACTCACTGACGCTATCTAGGTCCCCACCGCTTTGGCCATCGTTACGACTTTCACGGTACTCTCATGCGCCTGCGTAGTCCTCCGTCTTTACACTAGGTACCTATAACCCTAAAGGAAAACCAGCGATTGCGGGGCTGATAAGGGTTTGCATTCGCATAGGAGAATAATATTGCGAAATGTTGGGGCGGACGACTATGTCATCATTGTGGCACAGGTGCTCAACTTCGGAGTATCAGCTGGAAATTACGCAATGCTTGCCGCTGGGGGCGCAGGGCGACACATCGAGTTTGTTCAGGATAAACTAACAATTTTTTCTAAGGTAAAGAGCCTACTGAGAAGAATGTAAGATTTATGGAAATTGACCCCATAAAGGTGCTCCTAGCTGCTATAGCACTATATAATGCGACACAGATTACAATCAAGATATCGCTCCTTCTCCAATATGGAAAGATTTTTCCAGGTCGAAATATGCGACTGGTTTGCAACTGGGGCACTGGGTTTCTTCTAATGTGGGGAGCTGCGCAACAGTAAGCTTTCCTGGATCTTATCAAAAGTCATTTCTAACTGATGTGTTCTTTAAAGGGTCTTCACTCCATTCATTTGCACATTCACAAATATCACACACATTCCGGAAGGAGTTTGCGTAGGTAATAACACGTAAGTATACAAGATACATAAATCAGTGTTTTGGCTTTTACTAACAGCAGCCAGACTAGCTGCACTCAATGCTGTCATGAATGTAGTTACCGATTTCCTGATTCTCATCGTCCCTTTTAAACCTGTACTTCAACTGCAAATCAACATGTTGCGTAAGATATACCTGTTGGCTATCTTGTGCATGGGATTAACGTGTATCACCAGTGTGCGCCCCACCCCAGTGTGCGCCCCACGAAATCCTAGTACCTCACCTTCGTAATAACAACGCGTAATGTCTCAA